AAATATATACGTATAGTTCTTACGAACTGTAAAGAGTTCTAAAATATTTTATCGTGTACAAGAATAAAAATTATCTTTTTCGTTAGTTTTTAGTATTTTTCTTCCTTTAGGCTTTGCCGTCGGTTTTTTGTTTCGGTTACTACTATGATTTTTTTTTCCGTCGTCCTTTAGTTTTTCTTTCGCTTTTGCTGCGCGTAAATCCTTCTTCATTCTAGGATCGACTATTTTAAATCGACCTTTCACACCGGGAGGCCGAATAGCCCGTTTCTGTGCGCTAAATTTTTTTGCTACGATATATTTAACTTCCTTTCTTGGTTCCTGGCGAGCTTTTTTGTACAATCTAAATCAAATTAAAGATTGAATTAAAACACATACATTCATCAGATTAGACATTCTAAAAAAAGTCACACTTACGCTTTGAGTTGATGAGCCTTTTCCTTATCGCTAATATCTGTATTTTCCATCAATGCTTCTGCCTTCTTCTTGGCTTTCTCCAGTTTGCGCATCGCACGTCTCTTCTTTCTTGCTTTAGCTTGCATCACTTTTTTAATAGGTTTAACGTTCAGATCTTCTAGTCTCTTTGTATATTCATCGGCAAGTTCTTTGGGTACAGGTACTTCCTTCCTCATATGTTTTTCCTCATCTTTTACGAACCACTCGGGTAATTTCTCATCGTTAAACGCATATCTATTCCAAGCGGCATCGATCAAATCTCTTCGAGATTTCTCACTTTGAATCAGTAACGATCCGAGTGCTAAATCTTCAGGAGTCAATTTTTTTTTCTTTGGCTTTTTATCTAATTAATAAACGGATATATGTGTTAATGTTTAACTATCAGTAATTACTAGCGTAGTCTCAATCGGTAAAATTTACATTCAAACGAAAACTTCCTTACCTGCTTCTTGTGATACTATTTCAAAACCATCCTTTCCGCCAACTTTTTTCATCTTTTTCTTAGATGACATTATTTCTTCTATATCATAATCCGAATCTGTATGATCACTTTCACTGGCTTTACGTTTTCGTTTCTTTTCTTCGTCAATTTCTTCTTGCATTTTCTTTTCTTCTCCGAGAACATGTCCACCCCTCTTCTTGTATTGCTCGACCATTTTATCCAATTCATAGTCTGCGTCGGCTTCATCTTCTAAGTTTTTAAATGCGTCTTTCTCGAACCAAAGTGCTGCTTTGTGAATTCTTTTAGTTTCTTTGTCACGAAAATCTAGATCAGTTAACAACGGGTTGCTCTCAGAATCTTTAATTTGTGGTTTCTTCTTTTGTAGTTTATTTGTACTTTCGTCTTCTGAATCATCCAAATCTATATTAAAAGAAATGATAACTTTTGTTATAAATGTAAAGAATAAGTGATATGAGTAAGAGGGAATAGAGAGAAGAACATAAATACAAATCTTTAAAAAATAGCTGAAAGAGAAAACTATTTGAATAATTGCAAGCAATATTTTGTGCATAATACCTAGTTCAAAGTTTCCATTATTTATATTTTCATCATTTGATGTAACATCAGTTTCACTTTCTTCACTTTCTTCTTTATAGTATAAGCCTTTGCTGTCCAAATGGCCTGTATCTTTTTCATAATAAACTCTTTTTGGTTTGATTTCTTCATCTGAATCTACATCGCTCTCCGCTAAAATATCAGGTGTTTGATTTGTAACTTGTTCTAACTGTTGATAGGTTTGAACCTGATTTAATCTAAATAAATTTTCTCCTTCCAATTTAGGTCCTTCATCATTTTTATGAACCATTTTTAAATTAAGACGTTCGGTCAACTTCTGCCTCTCTTTGTTAGCCTTTTTTCTTTTGCGTTTTAATTCCTTGGCCTCTTCTTCCCGAAGTTCAGCTATCTGTTTTTGAATTTCTTCATCTTCTAAATCTTCCTGTTCTTCGAGGCTAGCGATTGCGGATGTAGTAGTTTCATCTTCAACTATATTTTCCTCTTTTGTTTCAGTTTGTGTCTTTTTTAAAGCCTTTCTCCAATTAAGTAAAAGCTTCAAATCTTTTCGACCAAGTACTTTAATATCTCTGCAACATTCCCTAATCTCTCTAGTAGTTTTTTCATGTTTGTCGATTATCTCATCGTCTATGACTATTTCGGAAGCATTTTGCAAAGCTTTTATTTCGTCTTCACAAGCAATAAATTCCTTCGCAGATAATTTGTGATATAATGTATAATCATTTTCAGGATATCCTTCTACTTTAGGTTTCTTTTGCTTCTCTGGATACAAAATAGCTAATTTGTTTATAGTTTCTATTTGTAATTCAGAAAAAACATGCTTTGGATCGAAGAATTTGGGATCTACTTTATCAGGGGCAATGTAATATTGACAAACTACAAAAATTTCTGCAGATTCTGTACGCGAGGCTTGAGGCTTAGTGGCATGTACCTAAAATTAAATTTGTGATAATAAAATAATAGACAATAATTAGTAAATATTTTTAAGTAATATTAGTACCTTTTTAAATAGCTGTTTTAACACCCAAATCAATGAGTGATAATCTTTAGATCGAAATATCTTTGTTACAAACCAACCACCAGCTTTTAAGAATTGAGTAGCTAATTTAAGAGCTGATAATGTTAAAACAGCTTGTTGATATGCATCATGAAGCCAATTTTTCC